TGTATTTTATACTTTAATATCCTTATTTTAAGGTTAATTTCAGGAAAATTGTCAGTACGTAGGACAGCACATCAAGCTTTACATTTTATTGGAAAATAGCCCTTATCACAACTACATAAAAACTTTAAATCAAAATAACTTACAGCTTGTTGGTTGTTTATGCTCCAATCTGGCTCTTCACATTCCTCCTCGTAATGCCTCGGCTCATACCGGGGCTGTGGCCGGACATATTCTGGACTATTTTGATCCTCTGAGGACTCGCTTGTGGCTCTCATGATCTTGTGCCCTATGGGCCTGTATCTGCTTTGGTGGTAGGGCACATTCATAATGTGAGATTCCATGGCTGTAACAATGATAAAATTGGGTATTAAAATTGAGGACTTTTTTGGGATGTGTTTTTAGTTTACACTTTGGCTAGTATACTAGATTAGATACTGTTCAATTATTTTAGGGCCATGATTGGCTAAAATAATACAATATTTCTTAACGTTATACCAAAGTAAATCTTAGCATAAGCTTTCATTCATTGTTTTTGACTAGCAAATGTATTGTATTTGTATTGTGTTACAAAACAGGACAATATTCATGTCCTGTTTTGTAACATAATAAAATAAAATAATGGGTTAACAAGACAAAACCAAAACTACTGAGTTTAGAAATCTTAGATGAGAGTTTGCTTTGTTAAAAATGTGGAAAAGTTTTTTTATTTGCTAGTATATTATTTTTGGAAATTAAGTAAGGATTTGAGTGAGGTAAGGTGATTCCTTTGAGTAAGGATATTAAGGGGTTAAACTTTTAAAGGACACTGTCCAATTTATAACCAGGACAAAACTTTCATTGATCGAGAATGAATTTACATTATTTATTAGTCAAAGTTCCCCCATATGTGCTTAATTTATCAACTGCACAGTCAGCTGCACAGATCTAAATATTGACCTAAGCTCTAAGCAAATAAGGTGCAATATTCAATAGGAATATGATACATCATTTAGGTGCACAAGGTCTAAGTTGCAAAATGTCCAGGAATTAATTGTTTTATTCCCATGCAAATAAATGATGGAATTGGATTTATATTGTATCCTCACTATTTTTGAGTAATATAACTCTACAGACCACACTGAGTTTATTTGTTACAGCAAACTTTTTGTTTAGTTTAGAGCCCATCCGCAACAAACTTTTTAAGAGAGATCTTATGATCTGGCTTTACAAGCCTGAAAAAGTTTTTAAAATAATAAAATTATTTGAAATCCTCTTTATAGCCTGACCAGGAACATAAAAACCCTCGCCATGTTGCGGAAAACTAATGGTACTAATTTCTTTTAATGGCAACAGTAACTGAAAACTTCATTGACATGTCACCTTGCATGTCAGTCTATTGCTGTCAAAGTGTAAACAAACTTTATTTTAAATGTGCGCAATTGATTTTTGAATTACATTGCTAAAATCTTTTTATAGTCGTGAAAGAAAAGTGGTTCACAATGTGTTAAAGTACTTGTCGAAGAGAAATACTAAGGGTTCGGACAATATTTTCATTGAATAATTTTTCCGACAAGGGTGTCAAATTGACTGACATGTTTATCGTATAGTACAGTCCACTATGAAAATTAGCTGTGGTTTGTTTCAACTACCTATTTTAAAGTTTTTTGTCACTTTCTAAGTGTTGAATTTTATGAAATTGGGAAAGAAGTACCGAGTTTGAAGGGTTCATGAGCAGACATTGCAGTTGAATATTCAAGTTCTGAATTTTATTATTGACGAATAATAAAATAAATCCTACTAGCTCGATTGATGTTTTCATTTTATTTATTTAAACCAGGTTACCTATAATAATATTTTTTCGTTAATTCATGAAAATATAAAATTAGCCCGTAATCCTGAATCCTGATACATAAAGTTAGCCTATTAATTTAACACGTACGACTGTACTCAGTGTTGCACTATCAAATGCAATTGACGCGCCTCTATGCCAGGGTTTTTATGTTCCTGGTCAGGCTATACTGGTATTAATAGAGTAAAATAATCCTGGCACAAAATTGGAAATGCAAATTGAATTTAAAATTAAATTACATTGTCACACTGACAACCGTCAAAAACACAAAACTTCATAAATTCAAAACATAAACAAAGCTTAAAAATTTATAAAAATAGTAAAAGTTTTTAAAAATTAATTTAGTTTATTATTATAAAAATTTAAAACCTATTTTTAGTGTTAGTAGTTATCAAGTATTTGTATGAAGATATAAATTATGCCAAGGTATGGTGATAAATTGTATTTTATTTATATTTAAACTATTAAATTAACTAAAGAACCTAAGAATTGTTTAGAATATCTGATTTATCTTAAAATTTTAGAAGTCTTCCATATCCCATGTGATACAAGATAGTTTCTGAACTCCTATTAACTGGGTATATTGTGATTTACTTAAAATAGCACCTAAATAGATATTTATTTATTAAGTACTAGCTGACCCGGCGAACTTTGTTCCGCCTTAATGGCAATAAATAAGCAGACTTTTTTTTAAATTTTGAACGGGATAAAAAGTATCCTATGTCCTTCTCCTGGCTCTAAACTACCTCCCTGACAATTTTCAGCTAAATCGGTTCAGCCGTTCTTGAGTTATAAGTGGAGTAACTAACACGACTTTCTCTTATATGTATAGATTTTAATCTTAGACCCAATCATCCCTTACGATTAAGTGTCGCACAAAATAGAACATTTTCAACTATGAAAATTTATAGGTTTGTGTTAGAGAATTTTAAAGTAAAGAAGTTTGCTTCAAGAAAAGCTTATAAATTAAAAAAGTAACTGTTTTATAACTGTTAATATTATCATCTACAGTTAAAGTTTAATCAATTCTTGTAAAGTTTCATGAAAATGTAATTTGTTAAAATTGTAAGTATGGCACAAAATAGGTATTTAATTTTGCTATTTGTTTTTTAAATTCTTTAAAAATAATTATGGAGAAAGATATCATATAATGGAAAACTTTACAGTTTTTGTAGTTAAATATGAATGGTAGTCTGATTTATTACATATTTGCTTATGCTTATCTAAGCTAAAGAAAACTTTATATTTTGTCTTAATTTCAAAATAATTACATAATTTTCAAAAGCTCTGTGAATTTTGGCACTTCAATGTTTTTCTATTTGTTTATTTATAACAAATGTTGTTTTTATAACATTTTTAGTATGTTTCTTAGTAGCTGATAAAGGTTTTCACTAACTAAGAAAGCAACAGGTTTCAACCATAAAGTTCTGTTAGTATGGCCCCACATGCCATGCTTCCTTGTTGGTTATGTTTTGTTCTAGACTTGATGACTTGTTTTAAGACTTGCTTTACATAATTTGTATATAATCAACTAAAAGGTCACTGTAACACTACTTGGCACCTGCTTGATAAGCTTTTTGATAACTACACAATAACATAAACTTTAACCTACATTTCTACATTTTGCACACATTGATGGTCAATTGGTCAAGTTTAATGTAATCACTTCATTATCAGTGGTACTGCACCAATCTGCGATACTGATACTGTCACTTCGGGTGATAAGAGCCAAAATACCATCTTGTCATACCCCCATCTGTCAAATTGGGAAAACAAGAGCAGTCACGTGATTTACAATAAATAACACTAAAACAGCGTGCTGACCGCTCCGCACGGCGACTATTGCACGCCTCACGCAGCCGAGATAACGGTTTCACTATTCGCTCACTTTTCCCCGCAAAAAAGTGCACAAAATATCGTGCACGTTTATAGGTTAGGTTCACGTTCAATGCACTCTTTCACCCGAATATATGCTTGTAAATACACATTTCTATATTCCATTCACTAAGAAAGTATATTTTACGCGATTTTATGTTAATTTATAGCCAAATACAGTCAAAACAAACAATAGTGCGATGACATAAATCGCCCGCGCTAACCTAACCTTGGTCGCGGAAAAAAGGTTCTTACAGATTTCTAGTTCAAGGTCTCATGAAAAACTGAAAAGTCACATGAAGGCGTTACACAAACAAAACTGAAATATCATTGCGACCCGCACAGAAATCTATTTTAAGACAAACAACAGACGAAAAAAGCACTAACCTTTACAACCTCAAGTGACGGCTTTATCCATGTAATTTTTATTCACGAACTTTTAATAATTTAGCACTATTCACTACACAAACCACTCTCACATATAAGTTTTTCGGCACATTTTAACACAGCACAGTTCATTTAAAATTGTTTTTCGTAAAAAATTAACACTTTACGAAACATCACATGTTACGAACTTCACGACAGCAAAATTCCGACTTACGATGTTGCCCTATATGAAATTTCTTACGTCAAAATCGTTGACGTATGAAAAGTTCCGATACGCTAGGACTTTCAAAAGTTAACACTTTGAAATATTAGCAGAAATAAGACGATGTTACTCCGATGGAGTCACAAACTTAACTGATTCAAAAACTGTCCTGTCGAGCGGTCCTTTGCCAAAGTAAAAATAAAGTGGAGGGGGAAATAACGCCTCCAAAATAATCCCTTTCGCTCGCTCCTGTAGGTGAAAGTATTGTTCTCGCTCGCCCGTCTCACCCATCTACCTGGTAATTACAAAAGACCTAGAACAATACAGTCATTTCTTTGAATTCACTTTGTTTTGAATAGGTGAGCTTATCTCAGAGGCAGCGTTTTTAAAGAAGGATGTGGTAATATTTTACAAATATGTAGACCCAAATGTAGATAAAGTTTCATTCTAATGAAAAAAAAATCCGTTGCTGCTAAAATATGAAAGTATGACGTCGCGTCGTGGTATTAATTTTGAAAAAATGAAATGAATGAAAATGAAATATTTTATTCAGCGACACATAACAGCATCAAAAATATTAAACAAAAGTAAAACTAAATAGAGTTAACTAAATTTTGTTCATTAAGTTCCTAACTCTATCTGGATAATATTATTAATTTCTTTATCATACAGATGTCTCGACATTCAAGTCACGAACGTGCGTTAGAAAACACAGAAGTCCTTGAGGTCATAAGAGAAGAACAATGTTCTCCTGCAGTATCCTCGGTAAACATGGACGCCGTATCCAAAACTGTTGCTGAAGCACCGAAAGCATGCGTTGATTGCACATGTTTAAATGACCTTGAAAAAATGAAGGATTCAAAGAATCCTGAAGAAATTGAAAGGATGATGTTAGAAAGAGAAGCAGTTTTGCGGCGTGAATTTCTCCAGAAGCTGGAAGGAGAAACGAATGACCTGAAGGACAAATTTGACTATATTTTACAGTATGTTTTGTAGCAAATACGTAATTCAGTTAAGTTTTAGTAGAATCAGCCTGAGATTTGTCCAAAACTTTTGAAATTCAGCTAAACACAGACTTTGAAACGAGGTTTAAGCTAGTTTCTGAATACAGTTCAAGGTTTTAAAACTATTTTACCGTAGTTAGAATTTGTAATAGTATTATAATAGGTGTGTAATTTTATTAATGCTATTTTATCAGAAATGAGCAAGTGAGAACATCGTTTATGCTTCGCGAGGCGCACAGAGAACGCCAAGAAAAAATTGGCGCCTTACAAACTCAACTTGAATGCAAGAATTTAGCTGGAGTCATGTATGTGATGTGTACAGAAAGAAGGAAGAGCAAACTGGAGCGACTGAGGCTCATACAAGGTATTAATTTTATCATCTGTGGTTATTTATAAAATGGCAACATTGAACGGTTTTGACATTTCGCATGGCGCGGAGAGTTGACGATTAGACTTGATTGAAATTTTAGATCGCGGGTTCGAATCCCAATGTTGATGATTTATTAAATTCATTTTTTTTATTTTCTTTTAGAAGTTAAGAAATAGTAAATTAGTTAATGTAATCATTTGAGTAGTACGCGTAATAATCACCTTAGACAATTACGTAGGTAGATACTTACCTAAGTAAGTATAATAAGTACTAAACTTTCTAACCAAAAGCACTTATTACTTAAGTGAGTAATTAGCTAATTTATACACTTAACTAAATGAGTAGAATTTTCGCAAAAACTAATTAATTAATGAAATTCTTTAGAAAAGTAGGTAATTATGTAACTATACTGGTCATCACAAAAATCGACCCACCTACGTTTTACAGGAAAACTCGTTTCTACTGACACAATCATGGTGCCCCAACAATATTGGTGTTAATTTTGAAAGCCCAATAAATATCCTTAAAGAAAATCACATTTAATTTCTTAATAAACGATTAACAAAAACGCCATATACAACAAATGTGACTTGAAAAAAGTAGAAAAATAATTACTAATTTCCTACTTATTTATTAGGACGAATTAATATTTTGTAGGTAACTATACCATGATTGATACTACTGGAGTCGGTGCCAAGATTATGAAACATGTAAAGTTTGCCTGCACCGACTCCAAAAGTATCAATCATGGTATAGGTACCTACATAAATATTAATTCGTCCTAATAAATAAGCTTAGATTAATAAATAAGTAGGAAATTAGTAATTTTTTTCTACTTTTTAGTGTAGGTTTTTTGGAGTCGGTTTTATTTTTTTTTATAAAATTTTACTTATTTCTTGCTTTTTAGTTAACTAATTATTACCTTGATGTTACCACTGAAGGTAGGCAGTACATTGACACCATATTCTTCATGTCTAGTGTAAATAATATTCCCTACAAAATACAGGTTACCTTACAGGAAACCTAAAAAGACCTTAAACCGTCAGCCCACCTTAAAAACATGAAAGAATACAACTGTTGGTCTATTTGTACTTATAATATTTAAAGAATTATCCTCCAACTCCAAATAATTAAGGAGTTGTCCTACCTACCATGACCAATTCATCATGATGAGATGATGAATATCTGATGTAAACACTTGAATAACTTTAGAAACTATACTTATCTATAAAATTAAAAGAATTATCCTCCAACTCCTAAGCATTAAGGAGTTTTACCTTCTATCATCAGCTCATCAATATGAGATGATGATTTCCAGGAGCAAATACTTAAATAACTTAAGAAAAAGTTTGAAAAACGATATACGTGCCTATAAAATTTGAGGGTTGCCCTCGATTTCCCTAGGATCCCATCATCAGATCCTGACTTGGTGACAATGGGACCACCTCAGAAGTCTACCCTATCGAACAAAAAAAGAATTTAGAAAATCGGTCTACAATTGAAGGAGTAATCGGTGAACATACATAGAAAAGCCAATATTGGTGGGAAGTGGGGATGCATACTTACGTTTGAAAGTGCTTGTCGCGGGAGGGTCGATTTTTGTGATGACCAGTGTATTTAGCCCATTTAGACCTACCGTGCCTCATTTATTTTATCTTACTTTCTAAATCTTATAAAATGATAAAAACATAGTTAATTAAAATTTCTTGGCAATCAGAGTCTCTACTCAAACTAAATCGTGGGTTCGATTCCCGTCTTAGACAGTTCGACTTATTCAAATTGAATATAAAGATAAAAAATAGACCTTAATATTTTATACAGTGTGAGTCACGTTAAAGTGTACATAATATGAAAATAAATGAAACTAGACCTATTTTTATCGACAAAAAAGAGGTCAAAAATTTTTTGAGATTTTTTTTATTTTTTATAGAATTTTTTTTCTTCCAATTACTTATTGTAAAGAAAACGGAATAATTTTTAAACTAAGCGGTATATCCTGATAAAATAAAAATAGTAATAATGCTAAATAACAGGCAATACTAAAAAAATACATAAAATACACAAAAAAGGCCAAAAAATAATAAAAAATGATAGGACCTTTTGAAAAAAATCTGCTTTAAAATTCGTGTTTTCTTGGTTATTTGATAAATTTCTCCAAAAAATGCCCCTATAACCGGTGGTTTTTATTACTTTGTATTATTCTCTATCGTATTACCTTCGTAAAACCTAAAATCGCATGTCTCTATCCCTATCACAACGTTTGCAATGATCGTTTAAACTCAAAAAAATTTTGATCTCTTTTTTGTCGATAAAAATAGGTCTAGTTTCATCTATTTTCATAATATGTACACTTTAACGTGACTCACACTGTATTTATATTTCATTTTCAACCAAAATGCAGACATTAACTTTGTATTACCTAAGTACGTAAAATCATAAATTATGTACTTAGGTACTTTTATGTCTTCAAAATTCTTCGCGTGGGATTTTTCCCCATACATTTTTTATCATAAAGCCTACTTTTCACACGTGTTAATAAACTTATCTTTCTATTATAACCTACCTACTTATCCTCTAAAAACTCTACTTTTGGTAAACAATAGAAACCGACCTTTATTTTGATCCTTTCACAATTTCTATTGTTAAATGAGCGATTGCTTAGACAAGGTGTGCTTAGTACAATAATAGATAATGTTAATAATTGAATGAGTTTCCCCAAAATACATTATCTGCTACTTAGTAATCGCCTGGTATTTTTACCCGTTCACTTATCACCGTGGTGATTAATCAAAGCTTTATAATCAACTGCCTAAAAGTAAGTCATGTTTCTCGTAAGTAGGTAGGTATGTGGTATTTATGTTCATTTAGGAACGATGTTGTTTTTACATTTAAGTCTGAAAGGTAGTTTAGGTATTTCAGTATTTTCAGTGATGTGAGTTTGCTAAGAACAATCGCTTAGGTGTCATTGTAATTAATTGTATGTTTGTTAATTTTAAGTTATAATGAAGTTAATAAAAGTAAAAAATATAATTTTACTGTACCTACCTACACATTTCGATTTAATTAATTTATTTATACTTTTGCACATTATGCTGTGCAGTGGCGGACTTAATGCCAGATGGCATTCTCTGCCAGTCAACCACAAATTATACTAATCTACCTACTAGTAGGTCTGGGACAAGTAAATCGTTCATGGTCCGTGGTTAATAAAATTCTTGAGCTCAGATTAGCCCCCGTCGGGAATTGAAACCGGGATTGCTGCTAAAAATTTTAATCTGAAATTGTTAAAATTCAAGGGATCTGTGAGAGCTTTTGCGTACAAACTACCGAGGTAAACTTTAGTAGGTATGATCAATATGATCATTGATCATCAATAACATTTCACGTGATTCGAAGTTTTGAAGTTTTTAAAGCATTTTATAACACACATACTAAGAGGTGGAGACCTGGTGTCTTGTATACAGGTTGTCTCAACCCATATCAAGCACCAGTCTTCACAATAAGTAATATTGTTTACAAATGCGTTATATTGTTATGTACTTGTAATTGAAAACTTACTTGTGAAGAAATTAATAAAGATTTATTTATTTACTAGTTTTCCGCCCGCGGCTTCGCCCGCGTGGAATTTTGTCTGTCACAGAAAAACTTTATCGCGCGCGTCCCTGTTTCAAAAACCGGGATAAAAACTATCCTATGTTCTTTCCCGGGACTCAAACTATCTCTATGCCAAATTTCATCAAAATCGGTTGCGAGGTTTAAGCGGGAAAGCGTAACAGACAGACAGACAGACAGACAGACAGACAGACAGACAGACAGACAGACAGACAGACAGAGTTACTTTCGCATTTATAATATTAGTTTGTTGTTTTTTTTTTCAATGTCTTCTATCAATGCAATGGTATCGTTAAACTAATTTAGACCCATCGATAGTATGAGCGATTTCAGGTAGGTAGGATCTATCAATTAATCGATAATTGATTTTAAGACATTCCTATTGATTACTCAGATGGTTTTCAAACAATTTGATATTTTAATCGATTTTTTGAAATATCAATATCGATTACCGATTTTATGGAAAAAATAATGACTCCGCACTAGTTGCACCGCGCATGCGCCATCGCGCCATGCGGCCATGTTTATTTGTTTACATTATTTTTTCAGTAAATAATTTGCGTTCGTTGCGATGTTTTGTTGTTGACGTTCTGGATAATTAGATATTCAAATAACTAAGTAATACAGTGAAGTTATGGTGATGTGTGTTGAGTGGTGTTGGTGCAATAGGACTTTGTTTGTGTCTTCTTTAGTGTGATGAACGATTTATGTCCGGGAGACCTTTCGTTCCACGATGCCTTGTATCTTAATGTTTTCGCGGGTGGGTGAATCGACACCACCATACCACCGAAGGGAGACCCGGAGATCCCGTTCTTGAAAATAGGATTTCACTACAAGAACCTACCCGGCCACTTGAAAGCGTGGGAAGGTGAATAAGTGAGTGGATGGATGTGATAGATGTGTTGCGATTCGTTTTGTGAATTAGAGTGAAGTGTTACCCCCTGAATACCTTGGATTGCTTGCAGAGTCAATAAAAAGAGGTAAGTGAAGAATTGGTTCAAAAGTAATAATAAAAGTGCCGACTCGCGTCAAAATTTGTGAATGAAATACCGTTTGACCACGTTTGACCTAGGAGGGAGTTGGGCGATGGTAGGGCTGTCCAAAAATTAAAATAATAATAATTAATTTAGTTTTGTATGGGAAAATATTTTTTATTAAATATTACGATATCCACTTTCTGACACCACTATAGTATTTATATGAGTATGTTAACATGGGCTAGTCTCGGCTCATATACCCATTTACCTAACACCCTGTATATACTCGTAGAATTACTAATTAAACTACACACTTGTCAAAAGAGTTTTCACAAATAGTTCTTACATTATCGTTTTTGGAATTTGAGTAAATAGAAAATAAATATGTAAATTAAACCAGCGGCCGGCCCCGGCTTCGCACGGTTGCAATGGAATTTCCCGGCTTTTCTCTTCTACAGGGTGTCCCAGAATGGGTGAATCAAATTGATAGGAGGTAGTAGAGCTACCTCCCCATCAGTTTGATTCACCCATTCTGGGACACCCTGTATAATATACATGTTTTATACCTAACCTTCCTCTTAAGTCACTCTATCTATTAAAAAAACGCATCAAAATCTGTTGCGTAGTTCTAAAGATTCATACATCATAGGGACAGACAGCGGAAAGCGACTTTCTTTTTTGTTTGTAGTCATAAGTTAGATACACGCATTTCCGCGCTGTATGTATAGAAACTTAAAACTTTTTTAATAGATGTCTGGTAATTTCAGAGTACACCAACTACATCCGAGCCCTGCAGACCATTCTGGCTGACGGTCAGGAACTGATCCTGAGACTGTCTCGAGGGTACAAAACAGCCGCTAGAGTCGACCACGAGTGGCGGGAGAAGATGAAGATGGTCATTAAGGAGGTGATCATCATCATTATTGACTTCTTCTGTTCTCGCGATAAACCGCTCTAGTTATCCTACTATAATATTATAAATGCGAAGTTTGGATATCTGGATGTCTGGATGTTTGTTACTCTTTCACGCATAAACTACTGAACGGAATTTGATGAAACTTTACAGTATTATTGTTTATAACCCAGATTTTGACGATCTGTGACAAACTAAATTTCACGCGGGCAATAGCTAGTAGGATATTATAGGCTTTATGTTCCACTCTTTATGTGGGTACTAGCTTTCCGCCCGCGGCTTCGCCCGCATGGAATTTTGTCTGTCACAGAAAAACTTTATCGCGCGCGTCCCTGTTTCAAAAACCGGGATAAAAACTATCCTATGTCCTTTCCCGGGGCTCAAACTATCTCTATGCCAAACATCAAAATCGGTTCAGTGGTTTCGGCGTGAAAGAGAGACAGACAGACAGAGTTACTTTCGCATTTATAAATTAGCAAAGCAAAGCGCAAAGGATGTTTATTACATATTGTTTCTTCTCATCGAGAGACCTGTAACCGCTCCAGTTATAGAACAAGGCGATCGTGAAAATAGTCAAAGTCAAAGTCAAAATTTCTTTATTTGTTTGGACTAATAAATAGTTCTTACAAATCGTCATTTTGCTCTTAAGGAGCCTCTACATGTCTCATAATCTTTTTACCCTACCAGCGCTTCGAGACCAACATTTGGCAAGTGCTGAGAAGAAGCGCCGCAACAAACTCAGTCACCACTGTCTGCCGGTTAATATAAATAAATAGAAATAGTAGTAGTAGGTACATTCGATTCAGGAGCAGTTCACTGAATTTACCATGCATTCTTGTATGGTGTATCTTATAAGAATGGGTATACAAGATTGCGTGGTATATTAAACAAGGTAGTGACGTGCTAATTTCTAGACTTACAATATTAAGATACTAGTAGAAATCACTCGCATACATAAATTTGAATAACTTGGATTGACCAGTCCCCGAAAGCAGCGCCTGTTCACAGACATGACGAGTGAACCAACCAATACCTGTAGGTACTCGTATTTCATTCGTCATTTAATGATTCTAATGCTCAGTAATGCTCAAATAAGTATTATTATACTCGTTAGTATCTAAAATTAATGTATGATGCAAATCTTTTAGCTCTATTCTAAACGACAAAATCTATTCACGACATTTTCTTACCTAAGGAAATAGGAATTTGATTCCTTAAGTAAGTAGGTAGGACTAGGTACCTACTTAATGTATGGAGTTTTAGAAGTAATGATGCTCATTATTAATACATAGGTACTAATGATTACTTTAATACAGGGTGTCCCAAAAACAATGGATAACCCTGTAACTATCGATAGGCCTCGCCATGTTCTCCCTAACGTCCAATTTTGACCTCTTTTGATTTTTAAAAATATCACCGTTTTCAAGATTTTTAAGTTTTTGGGGGTTCAAGTGGAGGCTACATACCGGAGAGCGCATCGTAGGACGTCCACCTACAAAGTGGACCGACGACCTCATAAAGATAAGCAGGAAGGTGCTGTATGCAGGCCGCTACCAAGCGGTCATTATGAAAATCATTAGGGTACAGGCCTATGTTTAGCAGTGGACGTCCTACGGCTGAAATGATGATGATGATGATGATGATAAAATGTTGCTTTATTTAAATTCCTACGCTAAAAATAACCATTTGTATTTAATGCCACTATGCAGTCCTAGTTTAACTATTACGAGAAAAACTCATTTTTGCAGTTTTCATGCTATTCAAGTAGCCATAAGATAAAAATAATACAGAATACATACGCTTGTGATACCTTTTTAGAATCTCAATTAACCAAGGAAGTTTTTAAGGTAATGGGCAAATAATTGTAATTTAATAATTGAAAAGTATCCTCATTTGTAGAAATGGCATGAGAAAAAGTAATTGCAGACGGCAATTTTCTAAAAATGCACAAAAGCTTAAAAATCTTGAAAACGGTGATATTTTTACTGGGGTCAAAAATGGACGTTAGGGAGATCATGGCGAGGCCTATCGATGGTCTGTAACCACCAGGGTGTCCCAAAAACAATGGATAACCCTGTGGTTATCCATTGTTTTTGGGACACCCTGTATAATACTAATTCCAATTTACTTATAGCCTGGTTGGTTAGAAATCAGAACAACTTTAAAAATTTAAGCCTTTTATTACCCGACTGCGTCAAAAGGAGCTTTATGTTTTTGTCTCAGTTCCAAGCCTACGTGTACCACTTCAGCGGGGGTACTCCTGAATCCAACCAGTACCTGTTCGATCTGCCTGCCCTGCTGAAGACGGAGGCATCGGTCTATGACGACCCTAAAGAGGACCCCATTGAGGAGCCCGACCATGAGGGGGAGGAAGAGGAGGCTGAGGGTAGGAAATAAATAAAATTGTCTCGAAGCGTTGGTAGGGCCCAAAAGATAAGGAGACGTAAAGTGCCCCATGAGGGCTACCTTTTCTTTTTTTATTATTTACTATATTTAATTTTGTGGTATTTATTTACTACATAAGTGCCACTTGTGGTCTAAACTGAATAAATACTTTTATTTTTTTTATTAAATAAGTAGAGTTAGAAATTACAACCTAGTCATAAGTTCGTCATTATGAATAGGTATAATGTATTTCAAGTACCTATTACAGGAAAATAAAACGCATAGGTAAATTAATTAAAAGAAAGTGCTAACCTAGCCAACATTATCAATTATCAGGAGGTAAGCCGATCTTAACATTTGAACTGTTATGTTCAGAATCAGATTAATATCACTGCCGGTTTGACAGTTTAATTTTCCCCCGGGACAAACTTGGTCTATAGGTTTTGAGAAAAAAAACTTTTTTTGGGAGGACATTTTGACGCCCAAAATCTGCCATTTTGTTTTTTTTTTAATTTTCATATAACCAGTGTCACTCTCATGATTAAGACGAATCTAACGACACCTCTCACGCTAAAATCGGTCAAGCCGTTTAGGCTGTAGTTCGTGCCAAAGAAACATACATACATACATACACTCGAAAAACATAACCTTATCTTTTGGGCCCTACCACGCACTGACAGCATAGGTAGGGAAACAAAACTTAGTGGTTTATGCCAATGCATTAATGTTTAAGAACTTCCTTTGTAAAATGATAATAAATGAAAAAAAAAAGTAAAATTGGTTTATAGTAGGCCAACTAGGTAAATAACTATATTTCTTTTCTTCTTTCAACTAAAATAATTCACGAAACAGACCCCAACGCGGAGAAGCCGTGGTGGGAGCTGATCGAGGGCGAGTGCAAGCCCTTCATCATGTTCGGGGACATGGCGGAGTTCCGCCCGCCCCAGCGCAGGGAGGTTCTGAAGGCTGTCAAGGCGGCCGCCACCGCGCCCAGGCACTGGAAGGAGTATGGTACGTCATAGCTAGACATTACCACAGAGCTTAGATCGTAATGCAGCCCAGACAAGTTACAAAACGTCACAGCTTTCATTTCAAAATGGCTTCACGAAGCGAAAAGTAATTAGAAATCGCTTCAGGAACCGAAGTAACTCTAAATCGCTTCACGAAAAGAAGGAAATACGAGTAGAAAAAGCCCTGGAGAGAAGCGATTTCGGAATTCCAGCAGTCGCGTTTTGTGTCTTGTGTACGAAAGCAGGACATTCTAATGTCAGATTTTGAGATCCACCTAAACTGTTTGACATTGGCTCAATCAAACTTGCCATCATCATCATTTCAGGCATAGGACGTCCACTGCGGAACATAGGCCTCCCCTAATGATTTCTATAATGACCGGTTGGTAGCAGCCTGTAGGACTTGCCAACTTAATCCGTGAGCCCGCACCAATATTGCTTACGTCATTACAATAAAATGCACGACACACTGTTGTAAAACTTCTAAGCGAGGATCAAAGGTCATCTCACCAAACGCGGAGAAGCCGTGGTGGGAGCTGATCGAGGGCGAGTGCAAGCCCTTCATCATGTTCGGGGACATGGCGGAGTTCCGCCCGCCCCAGCGCAGGGAGGCGCTGAAGGCTGTCAAGGCGGCCGCCACCGCGCCCAGGCACTGGAAGGAGTATGGTAGGTCATAGCTAGAGGTCGTAGCTAGACATTACCATATAGAGCTTAGATCGTAATGCAGCCCAGGCAAGTTACAAAACGTCCTAGGTTTAACTGACATACAAACTGGAACTGGTAAATACTTACAGCCCCTCTAATTAATGCTAGTTTTCAGAAGAGAAGTAAATAGGAAGAAAAAACGCGGGAGCGATTTCAGAATCACAACGGTCCCGTTTTGTAATTTGTCTAGGGGGGCAGGACACTCTAGTGTCAGATTTTAAGGCCCGCTCGGTTTCCACCACGGTGGAGCGGAGCGGAGAAGTGTTTTGAATAACCAATCCCTGATTTACTAAATAACGAAATCTGATTGGCTATTTAAAACCTTCTCCGCTCTGATACGCCTCCTCCGCATTGACATGAAGCAATGGGGTGAACCAACTTGACAACTCAAATAATCCATGAGCCCGCACCAATGTTGCTTACGTCATGTGACATCTCAATAAAATGCACGGCACACTGTTGTAAAACTTCTAAGCGAGGATCAAAGGACTAAGTGACTATCCCACCTAAACGCGGAGAAGCCGTGGTGGGAGCTGATCGAGGGCGAGTGCAAGCCCTTCATCATGTTCGGGGACATGGCGGAGTTCCGCCCGCCCCAGCGCAGGGAGGTGCTGAAGGCTGTCAAGGCGGCCGCCACCGCGCCCAGGCAGTGGAAGGAGTATGGTACGTCATAGCTAGACATTACCACAGAGCTTAGATCGTAATGCAGCCCAGACAAGTTACAAAACGTCACAGCTTTCATTTCAAAATGGCTTCACGAAGCGAAAAGTAATTAGAAATCGCTTCAGGAACCGAAGTAACTCTAAATCGCTTCACGAAAAGAAGGAAATACGAGTAGAAAAAGCCCTGGAGAGAAGCGATTTCGGAATTCCAGCAGTCGCGTTTTGTGTCTTGTGTACGAAAGCAGGACATTCTAATGTCAGATTTTGAGATCCACCTAAACTGTTTGACATTGGCTCAATCAAACTTGCCATCATCATCATTTCAGGCATAGGACGTCCACTGCGGAACATAGGCCTCCCCTAATGATTTCTATAATGACCGGTTGGTAGCAGCCTGTAGGACTTGCCAACTTAATCCGTGAGCCCGCACCAATATTGCTTACGTCATTACAATAAAATGCACGACACACTGTTGTAAAACTTCTAAGCGAGGATCAAAGGACTAAGTGACTATCCCACCTAAACGCGGAGAAGCCGTGGTGGGAGCTGATCGAGGGCGAGTGCAAGCCCTTCATCATGTTCGGAGACATGGCGGAGTTCCGCCCGCCCCAGCGCAGGGAGGTTCTGAAGGCTGTCAAGGCGGCCGCCACCGCGCCCAGGCACTGGAAGGAGTATGGTAGGTGGTATTTAGACATTACCAGAGAGATGATAATACAGCTCCCTGACAAGGAATTACAAAACGTCACAGCTTTCATTTCGAAATCGCTTTACGAAGCAAAGTAACTCCAAATCATTCACGAAGCTGAGTAATTCTAAATCCCGTGGCCGGACTTTTACCTTCCAACCAATACGCGCACTTTAGTCTAAGGTTTTATACATTCCTACAAGTGTTACTTTTTATAATAGGTGATGCCATAACTCAGTGGGTCCCACAAAGTTGTTTTCAATGCACATAATTTTATAGGTAATTTTTTTTTGAAATTTATAGGCCTACCTACTTATAAGTTTTGCGTGTCCAATCTTCACATCGACTTTAGAACCTTGATTAAGTAATAAGTTGTCTTAAACTCCAGAATATATTAATAGGTATTCATAGACTTAATTTAATTTGTTCCCAGTGTTCAACGATATGTTCCTAAGGGCGGACTGCTCCAATGCTGACGTCATCAAGGACGAGTACCCCAACAGGGTGCCTCCCCCGGGCAAGTGGGAGTGCCAGGCCGTCCAGACAGACAGGCAGTTTTCGAAAATGGTTAGTCTTCTACAACTTCTAGCTCGTGGAACTCTGAGGCTGAGTTAGGCGATTATCACACTGCTCCGCGCTTAGGGTATGCAAAACCGAAAGTTTATCAAAAACCGATTTTTTTTTCGGTTTCCAAGAAAAAAAACCGGTTTTCGGTTTTTAATCGGTTATTATCGTACTATTTTTTTTTTCAATCAACTAGTAGTTACATACAGCGATTTGTTACGTCCTAACCGTTTTGTGTTAGATTACATTATTTAAGAGAGGGTTATAACAGTTTTGATATATTTTTTTTTTTATGCTAGACAAGGCAGGTATTTGACCGCAATCGCATTTTAGCTTATTCATTCATGTACGTAATGTACATCAAAAACGTATTTGTTTACAATTACGATTGATATAAGCAATATCTTAAATTAAAAAGTAGAATAAAATGTAAAAAGCTTTATATTTGTGAACGTTAGGTGGTATTTCTGTAAAATTTCAATACACTAAGTATTACAGTAATAAGCTTCTGCAGATATCGCAAATAAATGAGATTCAATGTTCAAAACAATTCAGAAATAAAAACTGTTCAATTCACTCACACATTAGGTTAATTATTCACTGCAATAATCACCAACTATCTGAATCGCGGGGTGGGTCATGTCAGGTGGCGGGCGCGGGCAGTACGAGTCTTAAATAATTATCGGGGATTCCCCGTTCAAAGGTAAACGACGGAGTAACCAAGTGACAATGTTGCCAAGTTATAAATTGTAAAATAACCAAATATTCGTCTAATATCAAAATATCCAGGTTATATTATAATAAAATGATATTGCTTATTTATGGAATTTTTTACGTGTATACCGGTAGAAAAACCGATTTAAATCCGGGTTTCGATTTTTAAAACCGGTTTTAGAATTCGTCGAAAAAGGGCGGTTTTTCCGATTTTTCGGTTTCCGATTAACCGGTTTTGCATTCCCTATCCGCGCTCCGCCGCGGTCCGCGTGATTTCATATAAAAAATCCCGCGCGCAGACGCGTTGTCAGTGTGTTGTGCCGCGCGTGTTTTCTATACAAACTGAGGTACTTGCATAAAATGATTAAATCTGTCGTCCCGCGTAGGTACACCATCTTACTTTAACTTTGACAAACGTCAAAAATCTGTCAAACTCCATACAAAAAGCACCGATTATTGTTTGTTACGGTTAAAATGAGGTAGTGCAACTTAGCCTAAGTGGTCACATGAGACTTCTCGATTCGTTCGTACTTGAATATGTCAACGTGAAATTGTGAACTCTGTCAGTTTATATATAACGCGTTAGATTGTAATTTAACTACGTCAGATTGTAATCTGACGGAATCACAATTTTACGGTGACAAATACACTTCTTCGGGGAGTACATAACGAGGAGAGACGGAATTAGTTACGTAGTAGGTACCTATATGACGTCAGAATGGTGGCTTACATTCTCACCTGATATTTTTTGATTTGATTTATGTTTGCAGTCAATATCGAGCCGGCGAGTGACCACTACCAGTATGGATGTTCGTGGCAACATGGGCTCTATACTGAAAATTATGTAAGTTCTGACACATACGTATCATACGTAACGTAATGTATGAAAAGCAGTAAAAAATAAAATAGCCAATTTGTAAAAAGACAGAAAGAAAGCAAGGTTTTTTTGTAGAAGTAGGCAAAATTATGACATTGATTGAAGTAGTAATTGCTTGTAATATTATGTACCTACCTAAAGTAAATATGACAATTTCATTTGGATTAATCACCGTTTTCAGTACATCAAACATAGCACCTGAAGCTCCAAACAAACCCAATATACTGGCAGCTAGGGATTCCATGGAGATAGCTTCCACTACTAAACTGGTAAGACAAAGACGCACAGATTTACTTTCAAGAATAAAATGAAAATGACCTTATGAAATTACGTAGAAAGTGGGTACTAAATACAATTATCACCATCAGATCATTTTAAATTCCCATTGCTCGAAGCTCTAAGATGTTCGCATATAATTTGTCCCATCATTATCATCATCAACATTTCAGCCACAGGACGTCTACTGCTGAACATAGGCCTCCCCCAATGACTTCCACATCGCACGGTTGGTAGCGGCCTGCATCCAGCGCCATCCTGCTACCTTTATTAGTCCCATATTATTGTCCCATAGTAGACTTTTATGACATCAACGGGAAGAATAGGTCTAATTCTACTCTGCTGGAAAGATACGAAAATGGGACTGTTCCCACCTCTCTTTCCCACCACTGCAACTCCTGTGTAGCCAGGATCTACAGCTTGACCGCCAATAAAAACCCAAACTTGTTGTCCCGGGGGAAAGTTAAACTGTCATTGGACCCGCAACGAAATTAATCAGAAGAACATAGGAGGTTGCTGGAAAGGTACAGTGTATCTACTGAAATACATATTTATTTTCAGAGAGACAAGCACCACCACAAGCATACCGACCCAGCTAGAGTCGTGATCAACGTCGGCAGCAGACGGGTATGATATCTTTTCCCATGTAACTTTTACATCTTTTCTATGGCTACTTCTGTGCCCAGTTTGTCTACCATACACCATGTTGAAAAAAAAACGGCAAGCGACTGACACAATCAGAATGTCCTGACCTGAAGCAAGCAAGCATGCGACGTTTTCATGAAGTTTCAGGAAACATGCTTACTTGATAAGCACTCACACGCATGATGTAATTTTATCATCCTTGCCAGACAATTTTTTTAGGATAGCTGCCAAAGCCACGACAACCCAAAGTTCATAATGCATCAATATTCTTACCTATATTGGGAGCGTACGCAGAGAAACTTTATCAGGCCGTTAAAACTACTATGTATAAGTAACTAAGTGACTCGTATATCCTAACCAAAATATTCCAAATCTGCAGTCTAGGAGAGCATACAAAAGCAAAAGTTAAAAAAAACGCTTCGTGAATAATTTAAAACCTGCCATAAATTAAGTATCTTAATAAACGTCAAAAATACCCAAAAACTGCAACATTTCTTTGAAGTCCACCGCTATCTTTCCCTGGGAATATTGCCAGGAGTTTGTTAACAATGAGGATAAAAAGACCTATTGTTCTACTTAAAGGTCAAATTTTTATGACGAACAGCTTAAGCAGCCCCTATCCTGAGTATCCTGTCCATTGTGACGTAGTGGCAACGTCATAAAAGCCTACCCTTGGCACTTAACGCGAATTTGTTGAAATAGACCTTGAGAAAGGATTATTTTTTTAGCAAAATGTTGTTAATNATTGGACTTGTTTCTTTCCTTTTCTTTCTCTTGGTGGGAATTTCGTCCCTCTGCCATTCTTCGTGGTCTGAGGTTATGTTGTCGCTGGCAAGTTGGATCTCGGTCTGTGAATCCAGATTGTCTATCTCCTTGTTCTGTTGCATGGAGTTATAGTCATTAAGGTCTGTTGGCAGAGACGATGTCGAGCTGCTTCTGTTCCGAGTAAACATGCTTCTATGAAAAGTCTGCTGAATCATGTTGTTAGGGTCGGTTGGTTTTTTTGAGTTTGGTAGGGTTTGTTGGTTTTTTGTATTTAATAGGTTCATCTTGTTCCCACGAGTAAGGCCGATATAACAGGTCGCTAGGAAGGTGACGCCTATTCTTCCTAGAAGGCTAATACAACGACGTTTGCCAGCTCCGTCGAAGTGGATCGTTAGCGACTGGTCTCCCACCAGCCATGCAGTCCTTTGGCACGAATCTCACCGTAGACTTGGGGTGATTTTTTATAGAAGTTGTCTTCTTCATAGTCCGGGCGGTTAAGCCAAGACTACCGATCCTGCAGGCAGCATTCACAGGGTTGCGGTTTGTGTGAGTCATTTCCTACTCTCACTGTGGGACCAAGCTGGTTAGGCTGGTATGGTCGGGTTAATTGACCGCCGCCCGAGACCCGGCGTTGTTATTCATTTGGCACCACCCAGGAGGCACGTGTAGGGTAGTGGGTAGGTAGTTCCTACGGACGCGAATAACTCTGCCCCCCTAAACCATTGAACCGTTTTTGATGAAATTTGGAATAGATATATAGTAGTGTAGTAGTTTGAGTCCCGAGAGAGGACACAGGGTAGTTTTTATCGCGATTTTTGAAACAGGGACGCGCGCGATACAGTTTTTCTGTGACAGACAAAATTTTACTCGGGCGAAGCCGCGGGTGGAAAGCTAGTATTCCTTTAAACAGGCATTTTGGGAAAAGCAGTCTGGAATCAGATCAGATAATAAGGTTGTTTTCCAACAGACGTCAATGTTCAAGCAAGACTTGGAAGACACTAGTGACGAAGTTGGGACCTCCCAGCAGAAGAAGGAACTGTGAGTTTTAGCTGTCTCATTGCCAATTTTAATATTTAGGCTGGGTTGCACCATCTTACTTTAACTTTAACAAATTGGCGTCAAAAGACTGTCAAACTCCATACAAAAACACCAGTTATAAGTATAGTTAAAGTTAAGGCAGCGCAACTGAAGTTTACCTTGTAAATTATTTTGTAAACGTTATAGAGCGTATGTAGCGTATCGTAGCTCTCTTTGGTATCGTGTATAGGGTTGCAAAATCACAAAAGCCGGACTCTGTGCTTCATTTGGCCGGACATTTTACCCTAAAAGCCGGACATGTGATTTGGGTGGAATTAGTGTCAGCTCATGAGTGAGTACTATCATCATCGGTTGCTTCATATTATTCTGTGGCTCGCCTTTCGCCTGGCGCGGCAACCAAACAAAAAGCCTAACAAAATCCGGACAGCACAATATTTGGCCGGACAAGACCGTAAAAAGCCAAACATGTCCGGCTAAAGCCGGACACCTGGCAACCCTCGTGTAACTTCGAGCACAGAATTCCTGTTAGTAGATAATCTAGTCTCAGACAAGGGACAATACCTACTGAATACTACAGATTGATTACAACTGTCTACAGTATTTTTGCGCACGGGTTATGCATAGCTTATTTTTATTGCTTTATAACCTAGAAACAAGAATAACAACAAAAAATTGTTCTGAATTTGCTTTTATGTGTAAAAAATAGAAAAATTCATATCAATGAATGTATGAAACATGAACATAGAGATGATGTAGTTTGTTGCCAAATATTTTTTTTCTTTCTTTCTTTCATTCTTTCTTATTATTAAAACATAACAAACATCCATTTAAGATTCATTCTCACAAGAGAAAAATTAAAATAGAGTCCAAATATTTATTAAAAATGAAAAGTTCTAAATTTCCTGTCATGTTCCATAGAAGATTTTTTTCATAAAAATCTAACCCTATCATGCTTTTAGTATATTGGCCTTGGTAACGTCGTTTCTCAAATCCCACTATATTTTGATGAAAGCGTGCCCCTTGTTCTTGCGAATAAGCCCTCATAATTATTTATAAATATATCCCAATGAGAATGTGACGTGCATCTTGAGAGACATTCTACTATGAAGATGGAAAATTCAAATCGCTATAACTTCTTAAAAAGCAAATATTTTCGATTTGTAATCGCACTTTTTTATATACATTTGCTTATATAATCAGAATATAATAAGTAAAATCCATGCGCAAAAAAAAAATTTTTTTTTGTTGACCGGTGTTATTATATCCCTTTTACTTCCTAGCTAAGAAAACGTTTAATTCCTATTAACTCTATCAAATTACAGGAAAGACCTCGATGACGAGGAAGAAGATGAGTCTTTATCATTGCTTGGGTAAGTTTTCTGTTATTTCTTCTGTCTACATGTCAATGATCAAGTAGGCAAAATTGAATTTGAGCCCTCTCAGTGGGAAGGTTTGGCAGCACAGAGCGTCCAGAATGGCTCGAGATTGTGATTATTATATACAATGCATTATAACTATATTGGCGGCGTGCTTAGATGCCCTTAATGTGCGAGGGAGTTTGCTGCGAAGATCGGCTACGTAAGCCATCTTCAGGCACCCCAGCGCCGCCAAGACAGCTAGGAATCGCAGTGGTCGCCATGGCCGAAATCGGTCGGATGGATCATCATCATCACGTAAATTCAAAATACCTAATGGATATCTCCATCAGGCTTAGGCATAAAATGTTCTGGACTATCTCGAATTTGCTCCTGGAGATGTTTTAAAAACCTAAAATGTTTGCCTGTGCCACTTATTTTGTCTTGGAAATTTGGAATGTTATGTTTGGAACTTTGGAAGAAACTATAAATAGTTGCCTTCAAGGCTCCGACCGACCATACTATTGTTTCTTGCAGCCAGCAAACCCAGTGTGGTTTGGCAACTGCGCATAGCATAAGCGACGTTGCCAAGTAGTTTATGATGGACGGAGGGTCAAAATGAGCATAGGAATTTTCCTGTGTCCAAGCAAAATTGCAATTGTTTTGTTACTTTGCTACGTTGCCAAACTTATAGAGAGACTTGCTTGTAGTATTTTTTTTATATAGATACCTACTGTTGTAATTGTTTTTCATGTTTTGGAATTGTTCAAGAAACGAGTCATCGGTTTTTTTCCGATCGGTTATTTAAATGTACAAGTAAAAATAACAAGTTATATAGATAAGATTTTTTGTAAACATTCAATTCCATTGTAAACACTATCACTCAACAAAGAAAATAGGTACCTATTACACGAGTAAAAATATGTATTTATAGTGATAGTTTGAGACCCAGGGAAAAACAGGACAGTTTTTATCCCGGTTTTGAAAGGGACACGCGCGTGTAAAGTCTTTCTTCCATGATAAATAAAAACTCCCGCTGTGAAAAAAGCAAGTACCTATCTACGCTACCTAAACAAATTTTAGGATGATGATCAATTATTAAATAAGCGTTAGGTTCAATTCATGTAGTTTCTAGTCTAGCTCATAGAAGACTCGTGTAATGCAAAACAACTTTTTCTAACGACCCTGCGCCTGCTCATGACTCTTACAAACAATTGCCCTAACAAAAATTATTACCTGCCATTTTTTTGACAGGAGCATCCACAATGACAGCCTGCACGTGATACCGTCGCACGTGCCAGAGAAAGACCACAAGATTCATTACGAGAAAGTGAGTGAGAGAAAACATAGACAAGGTGGCTAGACATTTTTTGTAGGCTTTGTCGTGGAGGAGTCGGCGCGGGAGACCGAAAACAATGGCGGACCCCATTCTAGGATGGTTTATGCAGTAACTTTGATTCAAATTCAAATTCTTTATTGCTCCAATGTTGATTGATTGATTGGGCTGATAACACCATTAAAATTAGTTTATCCTGAACCTGAAAATTAAATTAGTTTTCTACGTAAGGCTGCGTTTTCACCTGAGATAGATGTGCGAGGATGCGGAGTGTGTTTGTAAAGAACTCTTTACAAACACATCCCTCGCTAAGCTTCCTCGCCAATCTCCAGTGGATGCGCAGCCTAACTGTAAGTTGCTGTTCTTTGAGTTATTTTGTAAAATATGTATATTGTAATATAAAAAAAATAAAACGGATTGGACGGATTTAGGCGGATTGTCATTGCGATACGTTCTTCAATACGGCGGCCCACGTTAAGCCGCATCGTGCTACTATAGATTGTAGGGTGACCATACTTACAAAATAAAACAATGTTAAATGAAAATAAATTTTAATAAGACAGATTTTAAGAATTATTACCTTCGTTACTGTATAAATAATGTTTTTTTTTTACTTATTTATAAATCACAAGGGATAGCCATCTAAAAAAAAGTAACTCAAAACAATTAGACTTTTCTAAACATTTTAAGAATTAATTAGATATTTGGCTTTAGTCTTTTTTAGACATTAAAAATGATCAAAGGGAACAAGTAACTCAAAACAATAAAGTTTTAGTCATTTTTCTGGGTTATTTTTCTTTAAGATAAAATTATCTTCACCGGCCAAAGCCATGATTTCATATTTTTACACTAATAATATTGTGTAGGATTCCGCCGAAGACCAGAATTCTTAGCCACTTTGTCCGGCAGCGCCACGGTATTGAAAATAGGAACTAAAAACTGTCAAAGCGGCGGGTAATGACACGCTGTTTTACATTACGGCTAGCCGTATTGAAGAACGTTTGGCGCCGAATACATTCCGGCGGATTTAAGAAGACTGCAGAGCAATATAATTTGTTTTCTAGGCATCTGCTAATGGTGTCAACTATACGGTGTACCTGTTCGATCGTCCCGTGTTTTTCTCGGAATCCAAATTGGTGGTTTGGTAATACTGTACTTAGGTGTTCTTTCATCCTGTTAAGCAATATTCTCTCAAACAGTTTGCCGATAACCGGTAGCAGGCTGATGGGTCTGTATGAGGCAGCCTCGTGTGGGGCTTTACCGGGTTTCGGTACCATGACTACATGTGCAATTTTCCATTGCCCAGGGAAATGTTCAAGTCTTAAGCTGGCATTAAAGATGTTAACCAATTTCATTACACCTTTATGAGGCAGGTTTTTAAGTAATGTGGCATCAATAAGGTCATAGCCGGGTGCTTTGCCTTCCTTGAGGTTCCTTATTTCTTTAACAATTTCTTTTGGGCTGGTACTTTTTAATGGAAGACACATTTGATTCGCTGATTCAAGGTATTCCTTGATTTCCCTATTATGTTCGGGATTGCTTTCAGGGAGTGGTTGGAAAACCGCCTTCAGATGTTCCGCAAAGATTGTTGCCTTTTCTTTATCAGATCTAGCCCATCCTCCTTTTCCATCATTGATAGGTGATTTATGGATTTTCGGGCGCTTTAGATTCTTAGTAGCCTTCCACAGCGAGTAGTTTGTGTCTCTCGTTGGAGTTAGATTTGAGAGGTAGCGCTGAATATTATCATTTTCTAGGGTGCTGATAAGGGCCTTGAGTTCATTTGAGAAACGATTGAATGCNTTTAGGCGGATTGTCATTGCGATACGTTCTTCAATACGGCGGCCCACGTTAAGCCGCATCGTGCTACTATAGATTGTAGGGTGACCATACTTACAAAATAAAACAATGTTAAATGAAAATAAATTTTAATAAGACAGATTTTAAGAATTATTACCTTCGTTACTGTATAAATAATGTTTTTTTTTTACTTATTTATAAATCACAAGGGATAGCCATCTAAAAAAAAGTAACTCAAAACAATTAGACTTTTCTAAACATTTTAAGAATTAATTAGATATTTGGCTTTAGTCTTTTTTAGACATTAAAAATGATCAAAGGGAACAAGTAACTCAAAACAATAAAGTTTTAGTCATTTTTCTGGGTTATTTTTCTTTAAGATAAAATTATCTTCACCGGCCAAAGCCATGATTTCATATTTTTACACTAATAATATTGTGTAGGATTCCGCCGAAGACCAGAATTCTTAGCCACTTTGTCCGGCAGCGCCACGGTATTGAAAATAGGAACTAAAAACTGTCAAAGCGGCGGGTAATGACACGCTGTTTTACATTACGGCTAGCCGTATTGAAGAACGTTTGGCGCCGAATACATTCCGGCGGATTCAGCCGTATTCAATCCGGCTAAACGCTAATCCGCCGTATTACAAAACAGAGCTGTAATGCAAAATGCCTAGCTGTAATGTAAAACGGCGGATTATACAATCTGACTGCGACAAATCTATCATTTTTATTACTTTGTTTACAAGGCACCTAAACCAAGTTCAGTCGTACTAAACCAACTTAAGTTATGATGATGACTCTACATCAGGACAGCTACAGGATGTTCACTGCTGAACATTACCTCTAGCACGAAAAACTTTCGACTTCGAATCGTTTGCGTATTCGCCATCAAAAGATTTAGTATGAAAACTTAAACACCAACCTTGTGAACGTGACGTAAAGTGATCTTAGTAAGGGAAATGATAGCACGAAACTAATTTAGACAATCGAGATCGTCACTCATCGTCCGTCCACCTAGTGGGAGGCCTAGAGGATTATAGATTACTATAATCTCTATTTTTTTCAGGTGTGTCCAATGGAGAAGTGCCAGCGTATGGAGGTGGACTCATTCATTCGTTCCCTCCCACCGTACATGAGGGCCAATCCGTTCACTCACTTCGAGCAATCCTATGAAGACTATGAAACTTGCACTAAAGGTAAGTCCCTTATAATAGCCCGTTTACGACCTATTCTCAAATCCACTTGGTTTTTCCATACCTACAAAATTAAAACCAAAATCTATCTAATTTAAAACTCAAAGGTGACTGACTGACTGACATAGTGATCTATCAACGCACAGCCCAAACCACTGGACGGATCGGGCTGAAAGGCATGCAGGTAGATGTTATAACGCAGGCATCCGCTAAGAAAGGATTTTACGAAACTCTACCCCTAAGGGGGTAAAACGGGATTAACGCAAACGGCCGCTAGTATCTCATAAACCTACAGAACTAAATTGGTTGCAAACTTGAGCGCCCGTGAATACACAGTGCGCGTGGACGCACAGGGGTGACACACGAACCAATGACAGCTCTATTCAACGCTTTGCGTTCAATTTTCCGCTTCACTTAAGCAAGCATCGTATGTGAATACGGATGTATGATTGGTTCGTATGTCACCCTGTGCGTTCAGACGCACTGTGAAACCTCATAGTAATGTTTGTGAATACGGGCGTTTAGTTGCAAATGACCAGTGTGCTTAGTGCGAGTTTACACCAAACGTCATCGCTAGTGACTGAAAAATAAATTATTTTTATAGCCACGATAGCCGAACGGTGAAGGGGTCGGAGTGGCCGACTCGAGATACGAGGAACGCGGGTTCGACTATTGTGGTGAGCCCACTCGTAACACAAGCTTATTTAGCTTAACACGAGGGGCTAATGGGACTATTAGTAATTTGGGCAATACAATTGCTAATAATCTTTAAAAAAGAAAAAGAAAACAAAAATTACATTAGGTACTATTTATATCAATAATGTACTTAGAAAAAAAAAACCGACTCCAAAAAACCTACACTAAAAAAAGTAGAAAAATAATTACTAATTACCTACTTATTTATTAGGACGAATTATTAATATTTATGTAGGTATACCATGATTGATACTTCTGGAGTCGGTGCCAAGATTATGAAACATGTAAAGTTTGCCTGCAATGTGAAGGTTTTTTGGAGTCGNATTTAGTCGTCGTTTATACGTCGTCGGGGTCCACTGAGATATGGGTCAGTGGTCGGCTGTTGACGGTGTACTCCGCCTCGCAGAGCAGAGTGGCGAGCGTCTCTTCGTGGGGGTGACGCTCGCGCAGGACGGTGCTGAGGGCGTCCTTGACGGAGCGGACGAGGCGTTCCCACGCCCCGTCCTTGAACGGTGCGCTCGGAGGGATGTAGCGCCATTGGATGAGGTGGTTGGCGGCCTACTGCTGGTTCGCCTGCAGGGCGGCCCGCTGGAGCTCGACGTCGGCGCCACGAAGGTTGGTGCCGTTGTCCGACTAGATTACGGAGGATTGCCCTCGGCGCGCCAGCATACGGCAGAGTCGGTGGAGAGCGAGGCCGCGACCTCTAGGTGCACGGCTCTGGTGGTGAGGCATGTGAACAGCGCCACATACCGCTTCTGATGCTGTCGGCCCACGGTGACGGAGAGCGGCCTGAAATATTCAAGACCGGTGTACGTGATGGGCCTCTGATGGTGAGCGAGGCGTCCCGTCGGGTGGTCGCCTGTCGGTGGTACTGCGGCCACCGCACGTCGAATTCTGCACTGCTGACAGCTCTTGATCACGCTGCGCACGATGGGACGGGCTCTTATCACCCAGAAGCGTTGTCGAATCTCGTTCAGGACTGTCTCCACGCTGCCATGATGCAACTTCTGGTGCGTCCATGCCACGTAGAGTTTGGTGTACTGGTGGTTTCCATCCAGCACAATTGGATGCTTCTTGTTCTGTCACGTTTTCTGCGGCCGTGATCCTCGATTTCAATTTGATCACAGGCTCGCACGGATCGAAGGCCAGCGCGAGAGAGCGCAGCCGGCTGTCGTTGGTCTTCTTTATTCAAGGCTTCTAACTCGGCGCTGAACGATTCTTGTTGCACGGCGCGCACTCACAGCTCCTCCGCCCACACAATGTAGTAGGGAATTTAGTGCAATGATTTGTATGGAGACCCCTCCACTTGGCCGTGTGTACTTATTTCACTTACTTATTTTTTACTTGTTTAACATCTCATTAAAAAATTACATAATTTTACCCCGAAAATGGGGGTGTCACACGGCGCTAGTAACACTAAAGGGGGTAGAGGGGCGCGGGAGGGGAAGTATTTTGGACACAAGTTGCCGCGTAGAAATGTTATCGAACACTCCTTCTGGTTTGTTCTGTATTCTGAGGTTGGTTATAACCATTTGACATCGGCGCGGCATGGATGCAATCAAATCATTACAGGTTTCTAAAGAAATATTATTCCAAACACCATTAAATGCCACGAAATGCTGATTTTTAGTGTGTAGGCAACTTATTATTATCTACACTATTAAATTTATTTATTTATATTTATTATAATCCACTCAATATCTATTTATACTTAACACATTTACTTATAATCACATACACCCTGCGATGCGTACTAGTTTGTCGATATCGGTATCGATACGCGTATCGACCTTTCGGCCGGACTAGTTCCGCGTCGTACATAAGCGTTATATACCTGCCGAGCGCACGGCGGCGCCCGCGCGTCCCCCCGCCAGTCGGATTCCTGCTACGACGCGAAGCGCACGCCGCTCTTACTAACCGCTTTAACTATCGATCTGTTATTTGCTCATATACTTCTACTTTCGCTTATATACTTCCTTCCTATTGACTTTCTGTGCTTTATGGAACTGTTTTCCGCGTGTGTATGTGCTCTTCTTATTCTATTGTGCCTTCTGAACTATATACATTGTGCTGAGAACATTGTGGATGTACAATATAGCATTTAAACCGTGAGTTGCATTTATTTACGAGCATCACCTATCTCAACACACCTAAAAATCCGTTTTTTGCTTCTTTAGCATTTCAGAATGCCACCAGTGTCACCATTCAAACCAATTGCGTAGAATCTTGTAACATAGTAGGTGACGTAATCGGTAAAATTTTATCTTGTATTTAAGTAGGTACCTATTTATATTATGTTATAGCTATTTATCTATGAAAATAAGACAAAATATATGTTTCATAAACACTTAAGAGTCATTTACAGTAATAAAGTTTGAAAAAATTATTGCTGTGAAGTACAGAATCACTTTCGTGGCATCAAAAAATTTAAAACGTTAAAACTTCCAAACGAGACTCACTATTTGACTGATTTACTGAGAATACAGTCTTCACATCAAGCGCTACAATTTTTGTTTACAAAAAGTTGAAATAAGTTAGAAATAAAATTCGCCACGAAGGTGACGATGAGAACCGTGGCGATGAGAAATACCCAGGTAGATCTTATGTCTAATCAAGTTGGCCACCCCTGCTGTAGAAGATGAAAAACTTGACTAAACAAGATGAAAAACATTAAAATCTGTGCTATGCTTAGAGCGTTATCTTGTGTGTTACATGTATTACGCTTCCGTGTGTATTTTCACTATATTTTGTGTTATTTTGTCGTCGTGCAACAACCAACAACTTGTCTTGATTATAGCAATATAATTTTGCAATAAAATTCACCATATCCTTAGACATTCTAGGGACATTCAAACAATTTTATCCCTTAAAAGACTGTTTATATGTTTTACAACATTTGCCACGACAGAACAGCATAATAGGATATTGGATGCATCGAATCTGACATTGTGAACCGTCCTTTTCTAGGAAGCAGTTTAATATAATTCAAGGGCTAGACCGCATTTAAATGATTCTGATTTAAATCATTGCTAGCCAGAAGATGACAGAACCTGCTTTGTGCTAACCTCACACAGATGTAGATGGTTATCAACTGTGATTGCGACCTCGCGTTCCGGTGTACTGGTGACACGATTTTGCTGGCTGATTTTACACTAAATAAAGATGCACAGTTGGTATGTTTACAAGAAGTAATCTCTAGTACGAATGAACAGATTAGACACGTAGAGAGAGAGAGCTACATTCATCATCATCATCATCATTTCAGCCATAGGACGTCCACTGCTGAACATAGGCCTCCCCTAATGCTTTCCACGTTGATCAATTGGTAGCAGCCTGCGTCCAGCGCTTCCCTGCTACCTTTACGATGTCGTCGGTCCACCTTGTAGGTGGACGTCCCACGCTGCGTTTTCCGGTACGCGGCCTCCATTCCAGAACCTTGCTGCCCCATCGGCCGTCAGTTCTGCGTACTATGTGCCCTGCCCATTGCCACTTCAGCTTGCTAATCCGTCGGGCTATGTCAGCGACTTAAGTTCGTTTACGGATTTCCTCATTTCTGATTCGATCTCGCAAAGATCGAGCTACATTAATCCGAGTCAATTAGGCTAGATATATCTTTCTGAGACAAATTCACGCGGGTGAAACTACAAGACAAAACTGGTTAATGTTTACAATAATGCTATGTTCATTTTAGGATTTTGTAGCTGTATCGACGAAATAAATTTACATTCATAATTGCGGTAATACCTCTTCTAATACAGTAATGCTGAAAATCGTAACTAATCCCCAAGGACGAGGAAGACCCCGAATCACATGGATGTTTGTAGTAAATAAGAACCTCAAAGAGGAAAGAGGAGAGCACGTCAACAGTGAGACGATCCAGGACCTACCCCAAATAAAATAGGAAAGAGCCAGGTAAAGAAAAAGACTACGATTATACTAAACACGGGACAATACAAAATCATAGCAAGGCTTTAAGAGACGGTGCGCTTAAGAGAGTTAAATTATTGGACTTCGTTTCCTACACTAGTAAAAAAGAGAGCAAAAACTGACTGATTATAAACTCCAATTAAAGCAGTTAATAAATCGGAGTAGATGAATGTTTACGACCACGATAAAAGTCATTTAGCAGAAGCTTCTGCTAATTAAGACTAATGAATGAAATTGGCGCGTGTTTGTGCAACCTTGACAATAGTTTGTGGTGATAAGGTAATGTTTATTTTCTGCATTATCCTTAAGCTTCACCAAACGAGATAGTAACTAGGACTGTTAATTCCTTCAAGTATCCTAAAAACGGGGATCCACCCTAC